GAGTAGTTAAGGCTACGTGTCGTATTATGGTTCTTCCACGTGTCCTTCACATTTTCCCACACAACACTCATATCATTAATATATAAGTAATTTCATTATAAAATTGATCAAAACCTATATACGCAAAATCAATGAAGAAACATATACACACAGCCATAGATATAACAAAAAATACAAACACAAAACCATGTCACAAAAACATGCCGGGTTACTTCCGGATTTCCCGTTGGATTACCGGCCTTAGTGATGAAAGTGTGTGAGAATTTGATGGTGATATGTATTGTGTTTAAATAAAGGGACACGCACAAAGTAATAACACAATGGATTTTATAGTGGTCCACTCTATAAAATCAGAGCTACATCCACTGTTGTTGTATATTTCTTTTGAGAGGATTATAATTTACATCAATTGTGCTGTGTTCTCTCGGATCTCAACCCCTTTCCTGTATGGGGTCTTGCCCTTTTTATACTGGGAGCTTCCTTCGCTGGGTTGATTTCCCTCGTAGGTAGAAGCACTCAAGTGCTCTCTCTTTTTAGGCCCAGTCGTAGCCCACTAATCACTTGAAGCACTGTTCACTCAGCCACTTAGTCTTCTATTATAGCTCTGTACGCTCCTGTAACCATTTTCTGTCCCCTGTGGGGCGGTTTAAGGGTTCGCAATAAATGCCTGCCTTGTAGTCATCCCCACTTTTATACGCAACTTGCCACGTCAGACCTTTCCTCAAAGAGCATTCCCCTCGTCGCCAGTGTTGCTTAACCCAACTGTCCTTCTTGACTGTTGGTTCCACCGTTGAGGGATTTCTATGTCCTAAGGTCGACGGTACGAACTGTCGACGCCAGGAGGAATCGACGCCCCAAGTTGGACCTTTCACTTGGGTTCTTTATAACGGAACCGGAGGGAGCCTCAAGCGTCGAGGGTTGGGGGAGTAGTTAAGGCTACGTGTCGTATTATGGTTCTTCCACGTGTCCTTCACATTTTCCCACACAACACTCATATCATTAATATATAAGTAATTTCATTATAAAATTGATCAAAACCTATATACGCAAAATCAATGAAGAAACATATACACACAGCCATAGATATAACAAAAAATACAAACACAAAACCATTTCATTAAAATAAACTCAATATCATTAAACATAGCAACTCACACCTAAATTAAAGACAAAAAGAGAATATATATGTTATTGTATATACAGAACAATAACAAAAGATGACACTATATATACACACATATATATATATATATATATATGAAACAATAACAAAAAATTACAATATATATATATATAAATATATATGGTAAAAGAGGATAAATACTCTTTAAAATATATGGGTCTTAGATTTTCATTCTTTATTCTTGATTAATATTTTTAGTAGAAGAATTATATTAATCAAAAGAGTATTAATTATTTAAAGGTGAGTTCACCGATTTATATATATATATATATGTAAATGCAAATTTA